GACTAAAATAGCATGTGGAATGAGGGCAAGGCATGCAAACAGCACATGTATGGCATGGTAGGGGCCTCATAACCCAAGACTAGCCTAAGCATTTACACTATAGCTATACAAAGCATGAGTGATATGGCCATGACAGCCCAAAATAGTCCTAAAACATCTCAAAATAAGCATAAAATCATGTTAGAACAAAGCCAAAATATGCTAGTATGATGAGTCAAAACATCATGTACAAAGGGCTAGTAAACAAGATTTGTTCTATGCCTATATGGAGCATGCAAAGGATGATAAAACCAACTATGGATAGGGTCATGATATGCCAAATGATGGCCAAATACATGCTGAAATGTAGACCAAAGAAGCTAACATGACATGGCAAAGCGTGGAGCATATGAAGCTAGTTTAGGGGATTTACACCACAAGTGTATTATGCAAGCATGGAGTGACAAAACCAACTCAAAACAGATTCATGGCATGGTAAAACATCACCAGAAACCCACTGAAATGGACTCAGCACAAGCTAAGCACACATGTTACTTGGATGAGCTATGAATGGAGTTACATTACACATACAAGATGCATGCAAAATGTGACCAAACCAGCCATGGATAGGGCCAAGGCAGGTCCTATAAGTCACAAAAATAGGCCTGAACCAAGCCTCAAAAATGCATAGAGGGATGGTCCTTTGAAAGGCCAAAAATACAAGCAAAGAGGAACCAAAAGAGAGGGGGTCACCCCCTCTGATTAAGGACCTCAAAACTATACCTTTACCACTGAAAATCCACTGGATTTCAGTGGTAGGAAGGCCAAACCAAGGCCAGCTCGGAGGCCTCAAGGAATGGCTTAAAACAAAGCCAAACAAAGCATGCAAGGGGGTTACACACCCCTAACAGCAAAATGACCTTAACCAAACTTAAAAAGCACTTAAATACAAGACTTTTTCAGTTATAAGCAAAGCCCAAATCAATATGCAAGGAGGGCTAAAGTGAGGCACAAGAAAGTGCAAAAATGGGGAAAATACTCACCCTTGAAGACCCACTTTGAAATCGAAAACTTCAGGGGGTGGAAACTAGTTTTCAGAGCTCAAGAATCCCTCCCAAGAAGCTTGGTCCAATGGTGGTGGTGTATCTCTATGTGTTGTAGTGTAAAAGTGCAAGGAAATCCAATTTCTAAGCACAAAATACAAACAATATGGAGATAACGAGAGGTTTTTCTCTTCAAAATGGCTCAACCTCAGGCAAAAAGGGAGGCCTCTTGCTTATATAGAGGAATGAAAAGCCAAAGCTTCTTCAAGAAGCTTTGCAAGGGCTTCATCCCTCTATACACGTGTATGGAGGGCAGAAAACAAAAATCCAGCTAGCTCAAAAGATCTGGAGAAAAACCAGCTGAGACAGGGGGGTGCCGGCCATCAGTAATGGCCGGCAGTGGCTCACTGATGGCCGACAGGGCTTCATCAGTGGCCGACAGGCACAAGGCAATGGCCGGCAGTGCCATGCCATGGCCGGCAGTGCACCAAGAAGGTCACTTTGAAAGGACCTAGTCAAGGTCCAAAAAAAGGACAGAAAGGATACAGGGTCCAAGAAGCTCGAACCGGTGACGTTCCGCCACGACAGCCAAGTACTCAGCGAGCAATCGAACTAGTTGTTGGGTGTACCTGCAAGCACAACCAAGTCTCGAGGACGGTAAAAAATGGGGTGTCTACAACCACCACCATCTCCTTCAGGAACAACATACACACAGCAAAACCCTCAACTCCTTATTTTGAATCAAAGTTCCTCTGCACAAGCCAGCCCAACTGAATGCATAACAAAACAGCTGAATCAAAACATAATTCAGCAGATAAACACAATACAATCCTCTGCCTGCCAACTGAATCAGTGCTTGGCTGCTTTGAGACGGACACATACGAAAAAGAAAAACATGAGAGCCTTTATCAATTCGTTGTTTTATTCATAAACCTCATCACAATATTTCATATATACACAATAGAGAATTTTAATTTTAGAATTTTAAGGAGAGCTATAATGATGTGACAAGAGAAAAAAGAAAAAAAACAAAAATAAAAACATAGGCACATACATCATATCACATGTGAACCCCACTTCTTGCCATATCAGTAGAGCTCTTTTTAGAGCTCCAAAATTAGAGCTCTCAATCTTTATTCTATACCAAAAAGTATATTATTATATTATTATGGGTAAATTGCACTCATCTTCCCTAAAATTTTTGACAATTATAAAGACCTCTCCTATAATTTTAACAATTACAGAAATCTCATTTACTTGTTCTGACATTGTCAACATTTCCCCCTCCCATTAATTTAAGCCAAACGATGTTAACTTAGTTGTCCAAATGACCATAATACCCTTTACAGTTAATATTCTTTAATTGATTGTAATTTACTTATATATTAAATTATTATTTTATTTCTCACAATTTTTTTATTTTTGTGTATTTCCTTGACTCTGTATTTTTTTCCATTATAAATTTTGAACTTTTAAAAAAAATAAATAAAAAATCAACCATTAATGAAATTAAGAAAGAATACCTATGTTTCTTATTTAATTAATTTTGAGATTTAATTTAATAAATGTAATTTAAATGAAAGAAACAAAGATGGAGATATAGATTTTAGACGTAGTAAGTAACAAATATTTTTTAAATATTTTATTATTTTCAAATAATTTATTTCTTCAAGTAAAATTTTATTTTAATTAGATGTAAGAAATAACAAATTTAAATAGTTTATTATTCTCAAACAATTTCTTTATCTTTCATTCCCTACATCTAATTTTATTTTATTATAACGTGATTAGATTTTTTTTCACTTTTATATTTATTTTTTGAAAAATTTATTATTAAGGTGAGGAATGTTGACTCATTTTTTCAATGATAATTAAAATTTGAGAATAATATAGGATTGTGAAAAGATAATAATTTTTTTAAATATGTTTATGAGGTAACATTTGGTAAATTTTATAAGTCAATTTTTTTTTTAATTATAAATATGAAATGTTATTATGTTTTTTTTTTAATTAATACACAAATATGTTTACAAAACAAAAGAAAAATTCATGTTTCGTAAGTTGCTATGATATTGGGTGATGCTAGCTAACATTGATGAAAGAGAAAAAATGATGAAAAAAAATAGAGAAAAAAACATAGAGAAGAGAACAAATAACAACAACAACAACAACAAAAAATTATATGGTGTTGCTATTTGCTGCAATGGCACTATGAAAAAATGAATTAGAAAATAAATAGAAAGAAAAATGAAAGAAGTAAAATAAACAAAATGGAAAGAGAGGGATAATTTCTCCAAATATGTATTTTTCATACCGAAAAAAAATAATTCAAATACCTATATGTATTTTTAATTTTTTATTCAAACTCTAATTTCTCAAAATAATTATTTATAAAATTGGTGATCTCTTTAAAAATAAAACATCTTTTATACTTTGTTTCGTAATTTTCAAAAAAATAATTGTATTTAATCTAGTATAAGGTTTAATGGTGATCAATTTATTAGCTCTTTTTCCTTTTTTTAAAAAAAATTATTTATTTATTTATTTATTTATTTTTTATAGATAAGGTGATGTTTCGTTATTCTACTATATATATGCTTGTCTCAACAATTTTGATTTTTTAAAAAATATTGTATGGCATTTAATAATTTTGTTTAACATTATTAAAATAATGTATGGATTTTTATTAATTTTTTGTAAAACCTCAGGGGAGGTGAAAGAAATTTACTATTTGAATATACTCATAATGTTTGGTTATTTATATAAATTAACAAAAGATTAACGGTGGGAGAATCTTAATAATAGTTTCCAAAATAAGGCTAGTTTCTGTAATTATTGAAATTACAGGAAATGTCCCTATAATTGTCAAAAATCTAAAGGGACGTAAGTGTAATTTACCCTACTATTATTCTTGGACAATTCGATTCGTGATTTGATTCAAACCTCTTGATGTTCGTAAGCACTATAAGAGGACTACTGTGAGTGCTTTTGGGTTTATCTTGGAACTGTTTGACTCCACTAATACTTTCATGAAGAGAGAAAAAACAATTTTAGGACAGTGACAATGCGACTCTCAAATTCTCACAAGCTTTTTTTGATATCTAATATTTCTATTCGTATATATTCTTTTTTTAGTTAGCATGTTTATTTGTTCCCTTTATTTAATCTGAAATCACATGTTAATTAGTTTATTTTTTTGTCATTTTGTTTAATTATGTGTTTCATTTATTGTGTTTTACTTTGCGAGATCAACAATCTAAAGCTGTCCTTATTAAATATTAATAAGGCTAGCAACAGAGAATTTCTTGTTAAATTTCACAGATTGTATACCTCTCTAAAATCCTTCAAATAAAATTATTTTATCATCATGCATAGAGTGGATGATTCTCATATGGTTAAACCTGAGAGGTTTGGGGGTGAACATTTTAAGAGGTGGCAAACTCAAATGCATTATTGGCTTACTGTGTTAGTCTTGTTTGGAGGCATTGATGATTATGAGCCCAGCCAACAATGGGCAAATTGGATGACCAAAGGACAAATTGAGTATCATTGTTTCAATAGGATACTTATTACTCTATCCAACCATCTCTATGATATATATGATAACACCACCAAAACTGCAAAGAATTGTCGGCTACTCTTGAAGCCGAATATGGGTTAGATGATGCGGGTATTAAGAGGTTTGCGGTTTCTACATTTAATAATTATAAAATAGTTGATGAAAAATATTATTGGTGACCAAGTTCATGAGTTTAAAGAGTTTTTGAGGGGTGCTGAAAAGGTTTGAACCATTTTTAGTGAAGATTTTTAAGTGTCTTGCTTGATAGATAAACTTCCACCGGTTTGAAAACTTTTGCTCAATCCCTTAGGTACAAACAAGGTGAGCTTAATTTGACTAAAGTTATATATCCTATTAAAGTTGAGGAGAAACATAGAACCGTTGTTCTAAAACCCACTACACTTCCACCAAAGGTAAATTTAGTTGAAAATGGGAAGACCAACAACAAATTTCATAACAATTTTTGCAACAGCAATAAGCTTCGAAATTTCAGTAATAGGAAGAATTTCAAGTTGAGGGGTGGTAACTTCAAACCTAATAGTTTCAATCAATATAAGAATAATCAACACCAAAACAATTTCAAACCTAAGGGCTTAAGGTATGGTGTGATGCCTTGCTTTGTTTGTGGAAGAACCACTCATGTGGCAAAAGATTGTTATTTTAAGAAGACTGAACTAGTGCAAAATCAAAGGAAGCAAAAAGCTCAAGTAAATGTCTTGGAGGAAAATCATGATCACTTTAGGTATAGTACTTATACTTTTCTAAATAAAGATTGGAGGTTAGATTTTGGAGTTAATGTACATGTTTGTTTTGACCGTCAACTTTTTACTACTTATCAGGAATCAAGTGGAGGAAGTGTAACTCTACGAAATAATTCTACCACACGAGTACTTGGAGTTGGAAATATTGAATCAAAGATGGCATCGGGAAAGATTTTGATTTTGAAAAATGTGCGACATGTTCTAGGAGTTATGAAAAATCTTGTTAGTGGTTCTAGTTTAATTTAAGAAGGGTATAATGTTGATTCAGAATCCAATCGAGTTGTAACAAGTAAGAATATGTTTTTGTGGGAAAAGGGTTATGTGTTAGATGGTTTATTTAATTTGAATGTTATTTTTGAAGTTAATGACATTTCTCCTCAAGTTTTGAATGTTGGACTTTGCAATGTATGGCATGGAAGATTTTTTTTTTTTTGATCGGCAAAAAAATCTTTATTGATGACAACATACAAAGTATGGAAAAGTACATCAATAAAGAGGAGCTTGGAGCTAAGACAAAGCTCCAAGCGCCAGTTGGTGAGGAACCAACCAAAAAAGATCAAGAGGAGAAAGAGATGGGAAAAAAAACAGCAGAAAAACAAAACTAATAACATACACCTAGTTACTCCACACAGCACAACCCTCAGGTGGATTAGCCCCCGGCTGAATCAATTAACTCCGAAATTCTGAAACACCCTCCTCTGCACAGGCCAAGAACAAACTCCTCTGCACATTCTGAATCAACCTCCTCTGAAGCATCCACCCCTGCTAATTCTGAGAGCATACCATGAGCTGCATCAAGCTGAACACCTCGCCGTAACCAGAAAAACTCAGACTACACATCATGCATCCACCAGACTAAGCTAAAACTGAGCAGGACCAAGGCCATCTCAAAACAGATTTAGACCAGCACATTAAATTCATCTCAACACAGCTTCAGGAACAACAACATAAAGCAGCCCAATTGAACTCATAATACACCAGCTTAATCAAACAGATCAGAATCCAAATAAACACAGATCCATCTCAAAACAGATCAGAATTAGCACATAGCATACCAGGGCTCATGCACAGAACATCAGAAGACAGCATATACCAGAACTTATGCATAACATTTTTTCAGTAGAGCAACAAAATCAACCCACAGAGCTTTACTATGCCAGCACTTAACTACACACAATGACAGACTTGGCACAGATTATATATAATATCATGCACCGAATAATTAAACCCCTTCAAAGATGAGGAAGCCCACAAAGCTACTCTAACCTTTATTAGCTCTGCCAGAGCAATCCAATCCGGTTGCACCTTGTTAAATACACAGTCATTTCTGCTTCTCCACACTGACCACATAACTGCTACCGGCAGTGTTTTCCAGACTGTTAGCATCTTCTTCTTCATTTTTATACCTGGCCATGACAGAAATAAACCCTCCACTGATCCAGGGCTAACCCATTTGTAATTCCACCAGTTCACCAAATTGGCCCACAATTTCCAAATGAAATGGCAGTGAAGAAACACATGATTAACAGTCTCCAACTCATATTTGCAAAACACACAGAGAGAAGAAACATTTGGGCTCAACACTCCAATTCTTTGCAAAAATTTAGAACACTTTAACCTTCCTCTCCACGCTAGCCAACTCAAGAATTGAGCTTTGGGAGGGGCTAAATTGATCCAAATACACCTAGTTACTGTAATATCTACCCCTTGCCTTGCTTCCATCCACTTCCACACTGATGCCACAGTGAACTCTTCAGACGGTTGAGCTACCCAAGAACAAGAATCTACCATCCTTTCATTGAGCCTAGGCGCATTCTGCAGGAAATCATTAAGTTTCTGAAGAAAATCAAAAGAAAATCAAAAGAATGATGGATTTAGCTCTTATTCTAAAGTCTAACTTTGATTTTAAACACAAGTGTGAAATTTGTGTTCTAGCCAAACAAACTCGGAAGTTTCATAAACAAGTTGAGAAAAAATACCAATATTTTAGAACTTATCCATATTGATGTTTGTGATTCTCCTAGATCATCTACTAGAGCAGGAAATAAATAGTTTGTGACTTTTATAGATGATTTTTCTAGGTATTGTTATATTTATCTTATCAAAACTAAGGATGATGTTTTTAATAAATTCAAGGTTTACAAAACTGAGGTAGAAAATCAATTAGAGAAAAGGATTAACAAGATTCTTAGATCCGATAGATGCGGAGAGTATACATTAATTGATCGTTCAACTTGTTGTGAAGAAAGTTGCATTAACCCAGAACTCAACAACATTGCATTAACCATATCCATCAAAGTTCTATTTTTTCTCTCGGCTACACCATTAGATTGAGGTGAATAAGGAGGTGTTAATTCTTGAATAATTCCACTTTTTCCACAATAAGTTATTTATATATATATATTGACCTAAAAAACTTATTGTGAAGAAGGTGGAATTATTCATGAATTAACACCTCCTTATTCACCTCAATCTAATGGTATAACCGAGAGAAAAATAAAGTTCTATTTTTTCTCTCGGCTACACCATTAGATTGAGGTGAATAAGGAGGTGTTAATTCTTGAATAATTCCACTTTTTCCACAATAAGTTATTTATATATATATATTGACCTAAAAAACTTATTGTGAAGAAAGTGGAATTATTCATGAATTAACACCTCCTTTATTCACCTCAATCTAATGGTATAACCGAGAGAAAAATAGTACTTTGATGCATATGGTTAATGCAATGTTGTTGAGTTCTGAGTTACTCGAAAGTTTGTGGCGAGAAACAATTCTTATTGCATGTTTTGTGTTAAATATAAAATTGTGAAAGATTTTGAGAAAGCCCCTTATGAGATTTGGAAGATTAGAAAGCCTGACTTGAATTTTTTTGAAAGTTTTGGGGTGCCTAGCTAAGGTAGCAATACTTGAACCTAAAAGGAAGAAAATAGGACGCAAGACCGTAGATACTGTTTTCCTAGGATATGCTCATAATAGTAGTGCTAATAGATTTCTAGTAATCAATTATGAAATTAGTGAAATTTCTAATAACACTGTGATAGATTTCTAGTAATCAACTTTCTTTGAACATATTTTCCCTTATAAAACTAGAATTCAAACTCAAGTTAGCGAGACTCTTCTAGTGGTATACCTTCTGCCAATTACAATTTAATTCAAAATAAAGAAGCAGAAATACAAGTAAAGCCTAGAAGAAGTGAAAGAGGAAGAATAGAGAAAAACTTAGGTGATGAGTTTTTTACATTCTTAGTAGAAGGAGAGCCTACTACATATAGTGAAGTCGTGTCCTCTTTAGAGGCACCTTTTTGAAAGGAAGCTATAAATAATGAAATGGAATCTATATTAGAGAATAATACTTGGGAAATAGTTTCTTTACCTCCTGGAAATAAGGTTATTGGTTGGAAGTGGATATTTAAAAAAAGGCTAAAACCTTATGGGAGTATTGATGAATACAAGGCTAGATTAGTAGTTAAGGGATTTACTCAAAAGAAATGGTTAGATTATTTCGACATCTATTCTCCCATGTCTAGTATTACTACCATTAGAACCCTAGTAGCCTTAATTAGCATTCATTCATAATTTAGTGAGACATCAAATGGACGTAAAATTTATTTTCTTAAATGGAGATTCAGAATAAGAAATTTACATAGAACAACCCGAGGGATATATTGTAAAAGCTCGAGAAAATAAGGTGTGTGAGTAAAATCTCATTATGGTCTTAAATGAACTAAGCAATGGCATGAGAAGTTTGATAAGATGATTTTAGAGCATCACTTTAAATTCAATGAACATGATAAGTGTTTATATTATAAAGAAACTAGTGGGGGTGTAGTGATCTTATGTTTATGTGGATGTTGATCTTTGGGACAAACTTAGAAATAGTAAAAGATACTGAGTCTTATCTCTCTAGGATATTTGATATGAAAGATTTAGGAGAAGCCCATATGATTTTAGAAATGACACTGGAGAGGACATCTCAAGGTATTACTGTTAGTCAATCCAACACCATAGAAAAGATGTTGAGGAAGTTTGAATATTATGTTTGTAATCCTATGACTATATCTTATAATCTTAACGTGCAATTGAAGAAAATAATGGTCAACCTAAGCATTCACAATTTATAGGATCCTTACTTTATATAGCAAATAAGTCTGGATTGGATGTTTTATATGTTGTTGGTAGACTTAATAGATATACTCGTAATCCTAGCACTACAAGAAAAAACACTTTCCGTGACCAACATTTTGGTCGCGAAAAGTACCACATTTGGTCGCTAAAACCTTTTCGCGACCAAAATATGTTGGTCGCGAGTTGGTCGCTAAAGCCTCATCACAGATAGTTTTCTGCGACAAAAAAAGCTTTTGGTTGCTAAAAGTGACCATTCGCGACCAACTTTTTTGGTCGCGGAAAGTCCAATTCATATTAGCCAAAAGTAAACTTTTAGTGACCAAAGATAAGTTGGTCACCAAAAGTCAGCGCCTTGACCCAAAAAAAATATTTCTTTTGTACTGCCTGAGACTTGAACTCCTAACTAAGGAGTCACCATGCACCCAATCCACTCTGCCAATAACATGCTTCTTGTTCATATTTGGCAACAAATATATATAACTCATAAAAATTTGGTTATATATTATTTTATAAAACTTTTAATGCCTAAACACAAAAATAGCATGTAATTACAGTAGTATTATTTTTTTTTAAATTTATCCCGCCATAACTTTCCGCGACCAACTTTTTTTTTTTGGTCGCCAAAGGGTAATCTTCCGTGACCAAAAAAGTCTTTGGTTACTAATAGTACACTTTCCGCGACCAAATTTTTTTTTGGTCGCCAAAAGGTGATCTTCCGCGACCAAAAAAGCCTTTGGTCGCCAATAGTATACTTTCCGCGACCGACTTTTTTTTGTGGTCGCCAAAGGGTAATCTTCCGCGAGCAAAAAAGCCTTTGGTCGCCAATAGTATACTTTTCGCGACCAACTTTTTTTTTGGTCGCCAAAGGGGTGTGACCAACTTTTTTTTTGGTCACCAAAAGGTGATCTTCCGCGACCAAAAAAGCCTTTGGTTGCCAATAGGTATACTTTTCGCTACCAACTTTTTTTTTGGTCGCCAAAAGGTGATTATCCGCGACCACAATTTTGTGGTCGCCAAAGGTTAAATTTTAGTCGCCGAAAGTGGACTATTTGCGACCAAAAAAAATAGGTGGTCGCCAGAAGTGTTTTTTCTTGTACTCTAATAAGACGCATTGGAGTGCTTTAGAAAGGTTGTTTAAATATTTAAGAGGTACCCTAGATTATTGCTTATGTTATAGAGGTGACTCTTCTGTAATTGAAGGTTATAGTAATGCAAATTACCGATAGTTTAGACATTAAGTCTACCACTGGTTTTGTATTTTTATTAGGTGGGGCTGCAGTATCTTGGGGTTCTAAGAAGCAAACCATTATATCTAGAAGTACCACGGAAGCAAAACTTATAGCTCTAGATACAACCAGCATTGAAGCTGAGTGGCTTAAAAATTTGTTACTAGATATACCACCTGTGAATAAACCATTGCCTGCAATTTATATGCATTGTGATAGTAGAGATGGTATTGAATTGGTTAATTAAACTCATACAAATAAAATGATGAACACGCATATTCATGTAAGATTTAAATTTGTAAGAAGCATGCTAAATAGGAATATTATATCTTTGGGGTTTATGAAAACTAAAGGTTTATTTAGGCACAGAGTCTTAGATTTGTCGATGGGGATGGGCTTAAGCCCTAAGGAAGCAACCTAAAAAAGTAACCCAACCTTTGTGATTGGGAACTCCATGAAAGAGGTTCAATGGGTAGAAACAATCTGTATTGCGTGACTTGTGATCCAATACTTTTATATGAAATGAGACATTTAGACTCTCTTGCTCATCCCTATGGCATTTGTGCTGTCTAATGTGATGGTTAGGAAGGGTGAAACCCTGAATGAGTTTTGAGGCAGGCATTCTCCTGCAGGGTATAGGTCACATATACTCTTGGAGGACTCACTCAAGTGGGAATCATCGTGAGGCTGCGACCGTGGGACTTGGGCTATTCTCTAAAATTCCCATGAGAATCAATATTAGAGTGAATGGCCTTTTTTTTTTTTTAAACTGAGGTATCCAGCTTCTACCGCTGGAATATTTAGGTGGCGACTCTGTATCTGGCAAAGCAGTCCATGTTTGGCACTACTTTTTCAAAAATCTGTTTCTCAAAACGATTTGCCAGATTTGGACTCTTTGGTTCAGATTAAGAACCGTGACACAAAATCGAGTCCGAGCTGTAGCACGAGGCCCGCGGGCGCTGTTACACTGAGGTATCCAGCTTCTACCGCTGGGTTGCGTCCACCGACTAATCCTCAGGAGGGACAATCACAGCATCCCACCGCTGCGGCCCCCCACTTAAATCCCAAGAGATTCCCAGAGGGGAATCGAACCCGTCACCGTGTGCCTAACCCACACAGTCCCAAGAGAATCCCAGAGTGCATGGCCTTTAATAGCACTAACTACGAATCATAATCCAATATCAATGCTATGTGTGTGATATGTCGAAATTTGATTCAAAGAATCTAGTTCAAGACCTAGTTCACTATGATTCTTCGAAGGGAGATTATTAACACTAAGTGGAGGTTCAAATACGGAAGAGACATACACCTATTGTGCAATATACATTGTCCTATATTATGCTATTTTCTATTTGTTGCTTTTCAATTGTATTTTCAAAATTGTAAGGTTTAATTAAAATTTTGAAATAATATAAAAATAATTTTATTTTATTTAA